GAGGGGGTGGGGAGAAGGGGAAAGGGAGAGGGGAGTGGGGGACACACACACAGAGAGAAGATAAAGTAAGTTAATGGGCACAAACACAGTTGGGGAGAAGAATAAATTCTAACGTTCCACAGCACAACAGGGTGACTATACTTAATAATATATTGTATGAGTACATTTCAAGATAGCTAGAAGAAGACTTGAAATGTTCTCAACACAAAGAAATGATAAATACTTCAGGTAATGGATACCCTAAATACTCTGACTTGATTACTACACATTCCATGCATGTATCAACATATCATATGTATCCTGTAAATATGTACAAATATTATGTATCAATAAAAAACTATTAAATAGTTTTTTATAATTGATAAATACAGATCCATACAAGTTTTTAGTAACTTGCCCAAGAGCATATAGCTAATTAATAAAAATAGCTGTGTCCAGAATCCAGTTAACCTAACTTCTAATTCAATAGTTTCCAAACTCAGGTAATCATCAGAATGATTGAAGAGAGTTTGTTGTTTCACAAAAAACATATCCAAGGCCTTACCACTAAGAAATGTCAATTAATGTCTGAGGTTGGGCCTGAGAATCTATTTTTTTAAAAAAAGGTGATTCCAACGATCAGCTGATGTTAGGAACTTCTGAACAAGACTATTCTATCCCTTTTACCCTTCTCCTCCTAGTGAAATATAAAAATACCTTATTTTCTGCTTGGTGTATTTAAGATAGATTTAGTTTAACAAAAAGTATTTTCTTTACATTTATAATAGAAATTACAACCAAAAATTAATAAGTCTATTCTGAGAGGAAGAATCAAAACTGCATGGAAGACGCTTACTATCAGAGGTGATATGCAGCACAAAGGCTAAGAGCATGATTCTGGAACTAGACTGCCTGGATTCAACTTACTAGCTGGGTGATGTTGGGGAAATTACCTGACATCTCAGTATCTCTGCTTCCTCGCCTACAAAACAGAAGCACCAACCATGTTGGGTTGTCCTGGTGGTTAAACGAGACAGTATACATAAAAGCCCACAGCACAGTACCTAGCCCATAGTAAACAGTATAAGTATTAGCTATTGTTATTGACAACAAGCATGGGAATGATCACTTAGATCTCCCTAAACACCATCCATAAACAAGCACCTGAACTGGGTACCTGAGACACAGTAGCAAGGATGACAGACTCAGTTCCTGTTTGCAAAGCTTAGAATCAATCCCAGCAGAAGCAAGTATGCTAAGTATCAGTAGGAGGCAGTACACATAGTGAGCATGGCTCTTGTTTAGCCTGTTTGATCCTCATTTCCACTCCTGGCTACCTGTACGATCTTAGGCATGCTACTTAATCTCTTGACTCAATATACTTACTGTAAAGAACCAAAAACAATGGTCATAACATCATAAAGTACTCAAACATAATTACTATTATGATGAGAAATACAGGTGCCATAGAAACCCAAAGGAAAAGAATGAATCCAGAGTTGAGTGGACCAGAGAAGTCTGCAGGAATTGAGGAAAGGGTACAGGAGGAAAAGGGAACTGTTTCTGGCAGAGGAAACAGTAAGTTCAAAGGTTCATGGGTAAAATAGCCAGAAATTAGGGAAGCTTAGCTAGAAAACAGAGTACAAGTGTGGGGAGAAGAGGACCAGAAAAAAGTTAACCAGATGTATATGAGTCACAGCCTTCATTCTGAGGGCTATGGGAAGTGAGAGGACCAGTTTTACATTTTAGAAATATTGTCCTTGACCAGCCTGGGCAACATAGTGATACCTCGTCTCTCTTAAAAAAAAATATAATAATAATAATAATAATAAGCCGGATATGGTAGCATGGGCCTGTACTCACAGCTACTGGAGGCTGAGGCAGAAGGATCACCTGAGCCCAGGAGGTCAAGGCTGCAATGAACCGGAATTGTGCCACTGCACTCCTGCCTGTGTGACAAGGTAAGACCAGGACTCAAAAAAAGGAAGGAAGGGAGGGAGGGAAGAAATACTGCCTTGACAGCAATGTAGACACCAAGTAGAGGCAGGGAGGAGGAAGAGGAGTAGGGACTGAAGAAGGCTGCAGCATGCTGCCCCCACTATCCTTTCCACCAGACCACTTTGGTCATGCTTTTTTTTGCTTCACACGACTTTTTTATAAAAAACTCTATTTACTGTCTCCTTTCTTTACTTTTAAAAAGATTTTGAATAAGGTCAGATCTGCCTTTTTCCATTGCCAACTTTCTCCATTTGTATTCATATTAACTATCTTGGTTTCATTTTTCCTTGTTTATTTTTTAACCTGGTGCTTCTTTGTCATTTTTCATATTAAACTATATATGGTTTCAGCTGAGCACAGTCTCATACCTGTAATTCTGGCACTTTGGGAGACAGAGGCCAGAAGATTGTTTGAGCCTAGGGGTTTGAGACCAGCCTGGGCAACTTGGCAAAAAATCATAAAATTAGCCAGGCATGGTGGGTGCACACCTGTGGTTCCACCTACTTGGAAGGCTGAGGTGGAAGGATCACCTGAACCCAGCAGGTCAAGGCTGTGGTAGCTGTGAGCATGCCACTGCATGCCTGGGTGACAGAGTGAGACTCCAACTCAAACAAACAAACAAACCTTTGTATGGTTTTAATGAGGTAACTGTGGCAAATTTTGCAAAGGGAAGAGGTTTAAAATAAATTAAACAATTTACTGTCAAATTAGTACTTGTAACTCTATTATTAATTTTAAAAGATACAAGAAGCTTCTGTTTTGTTACAAACACTGTAAGTAGGAGGGGAAGTCTACTTTTAAACCTTAAAAGCATAAGAGAGATGAAAATGATCAAAGAGGAAATCTGAGTCTTTTTCTGGGTGTTCTCAAAACTCCAAATTGTAAGTTATAAGCCAACACCACATGATAAACAAAAATATTCTTGCAACTCTTTTACTTGGACTTGAAAACTATAAGGTTTGTGTTCAAACTCTGGAGGCTGAGAAAGAGGATCATCTGAACACAGTAGATCGTGCCACTACACTCCAGCTTGGATGATAGAATGAGACCTCGCCTCAAAAAAAAAAAAAAAAAAAAAAAAAAAATATATATATATATAGAATAAGTTGCCATTTTCTCAAGTATTTCTGCATAATACAAGCTCCTAGGAAAAATGGTAGAACCAAGTAACGTCCCTCTGAATGCAATCTAGTTTTAAGTATATTAAAGATACTATACCTACAGCAGTATTCTTTTGGCAACTGGTCTGGTAAGAGAACAGGAAAACTAAAACTTTTCTCAAGTCTTCCATGTACACAAGAGGACTGTGATTGTCTGAATACAACCCCAGTGATGAAAGGCACAACACAGCCTGCGGCAATTCCACGATGATGCCAACTCTAATATAACTGATACACTACGTGTGTTGAAGTGTTTCAGCAGAAAGATCTCTGGAGTTCTTTCTGGACTACTGAACTGAGGAAATATTTTAAATAGGGATATCATTTTGAGACTTTCCAGTTTCTGCCTTTATTCAATCAGCATGATGTTCTAAAAAGAGTTGTGAGGAAGGGAAAAAAAGGAAGAGAAATAGCTTACTAAATAGACTCCGCATAGAATTTACCTCCTGGCAGCCATTTTGTTACGTAATTCCTTTTATTTTTATTTTGGATCTATTAGGTATCCTTATACGATGACATCTACTTACTCTATGTATCTGCCTTCTTTTTTTCTGGGTTATTTTGTTTTTGGGGGGTTATTTTGTTTTTGTATATATATATATATTTTTTTTTTTTCGAGTCAGGGTCTCAACACTGTCACTTAAGCTGGAGTGCAGGGGCATGATTACAGCTTACTGCAGCCTCCGATTCCTGGATTCAAGCGATCCTCCTGCCTTAGCTTTCCAAGTAGCTGGGACTACAAGCATGCATCACCACACAGCTAATATGTTTTTTCTTTTAATTTTTTGTAGAGACGAGGTCTCACTATGTTGTTCAGACTGGTCTTGAACTCCTGGCCTCAAGCAATCCACTCATCTCAGCTTCCCAAAGTTCTGAGATTACAAGCATAAGCCACCATGCCTGGACTGCCTTTGTTTTTTTTGTATTTAGGCTAGAAATTGCACATGTTAGTTTTATAAACCTTTATTTAAATGGATTATTTGAGCCGGGCTCGGTGGCTCAGCCTGTAATCCCACGCTTTGGGAGGCTGAGGTGAGTGGATTGCCTGAACACGTGGATTCGAGACCCACCTGGGCAACTTGGCGAGACCTCATCTCTACAATGATCAAAAATGAGCCGGGCATGGTAGTGCGTGCCTGTTGTTCCAGCTACTTGGAAGGCTGAGGCGGAAGGATCGCCAGAGCCCAGCAGGTCGAGGCTGCGGTGACCAGGAGCGGCCACTGCACTCCAGTCTGGGCGACAGAGCGAGACTCCAACTCAAAAAAAAAAAAGTGGATTATTTGCCTCTTATCAGTAAGCAAAATAAAATTCATTTTTTCAAGGTAGTGATAACATCTTCCAACTTGAAGACTAGATTTTCTCAGGTAATTTTCACTGTATGCTACTTTATTTTTTTTTGAGTTGGAGTCTCACTCAGTCGCCCAGACTGGAGTGCAGTGGCCGATCCCGGCCACGGCAGCCTCCACCTGCTGGGCTCCGGCGATCCTTCCTCCTCAGCCTTTCAAGTAGCTGGAACAACAGGTGCACGCTACCACGCCCGGCTAATTTTTTGGATTTATTGTAGAGATGAGGTCTCACCAATTTGCCCAGGCGGGTCTCGAACCCATGGGCTCAGGCAATTCACTCACCTCAGCCTCCCAAAGTGCGGGATGTTACTTTTATCTAAATGTTTTTCTCATTCTTTATATTAAGCTTTGTATGGTTTTAATAAGAGAACTATAGTATAATTTGGGGAAAACTCAACAACTTATCAAATCAGTACATTTACCTCTATCATAATTTTAAAAGATGCAAGGAGCTACTGTTTGTTACAGACACTGTAAATAACAGACTAAAGACAAGAATACTATAAAGTTTTGTCAAAATTAAATATCTTTATACTCTTCCTAATAGTCTTACTATCCAGCAGAACAAGAATTTATTGCTCTTTATAGACTAAGTACTATAATCATTCTGGCTCACTAACTGCTGAATTACTGAAAAATAACTTCTAAAAATAAAATTCCTAATGATTGAAATACATTTATGCCATTAAACTTCTTGCTTTTTTAAATACTGCACCTTCAGAATGTTATTAGAACTGCGCTGTCCTAATTTTAGAAACATATGCAAACTTTTCTGCTTTCCCATGAACTAAACAAAAATGTATCACTGAATTATATCCTTATATGAAAATATATATATATATTTTTTGAGTTGGAGTCTCACTCTGTCACCCAGGCTGGAGTGCAGTGGCATGCTCACGGCCACCACAGTCTCAACCTGCGGGGTTTAGGTGATCCTTCCACCTCAGCCTTCCAAGTAGCTGGAACTACAGGCACATGCCACCACACCTAGCTAATTTCATGATTTATTGTAGAGATGAGGTTTCGCCAAGTTGCCTGGGCTGGTCTCAAACCTGTGGGCTCAGGCAATCCTCTCACCTCGGCCTCCCAAAATGCTGGGATTATAGGCATAAGCCACTGTGCCCAGCTGGAAAAATTATTTTCAATAAGAAAAAGATCTTATTTGTTCAGCATAAGCACAAGTTTTACCCATGTGGGGTTTAGATCTTTGAGGTATAGACAGCGTCTATATATCACAGAAGCATATTTTCAGTTCCTGACCAATCCTGTTTGAGAGGTGTTCCTTCTCATACATTTGAATAACAGATCTAATTTGAACTATTTCAGCCATTGACAGAAAAAAAAAAACCTCATTAAATATTTATCTGTGAATAACCAGTGCTTTTAGGGGCATATACATACCATTAAAATGCTTTAATCTTTTCAGATTCCACAAGGTGCTTTTGTTTTACATCATTAGAAAAGCCTAAGCTAAGTTGTACTTATCTGCCCTATACATCTTATGAGGCAGGGATAAGATAGCTTTGCTGGTTTTTTTTTTTTTTTTGCACGCGGGGGGGGGGGGGGGGATTGGATAGGAGTCTCACTCTGTCACCCAGGCTGGAGTGCAGTGGTATGCTCCTGGCCACCACAGTCTCAACCTGCTGGGCTCAGGTGATCCTTCAACCTCAGCCTTCCAAGCAGGTGGAACTACAGGCACATGCTACCATACTCAGCTAATATATATTTTTTTATTGTAGAAACAAAGTCTTGCCAAGTTGTTCAGGATGGCCTTGAACCCCTGGGTTCAGGCAGTCCTCTCGCCTCTGATTCCCAAAGTGCTGGGATTATAGGCGTGAGTCACTGCACCCGGCCAGATAGCTTTTATTTGAAGAAAACCTGTTGTTCCTTCTGTAGCTTGTGATTTAAGAGCCTTCTCACAGGGTAAGTTAAATTTGAAATGTCAGTTTTCCAAATTAGTACAAATCATTTCATGTAAAAAAGTTCTTTCCTTTCCCAAGTATAAATTCAGATTGATTGCTTTCCATTTTCATGGGCTAATTCAACCAGGTATGTTCCTAGAGAAATGATGGATCTAGGCAATGGTTACTAATGACTGGTAATGTTAGGAAAAAAGACATCAAATGTTATGTGCACCTAAGTATACACCACCACTTAAAAGCCTTCTTGCTAAAAATTAAATTAATAATCAAACTAGAACCTAATTAAGCTTCTAAATCTAACTGCCTTAGAAGGAAAATAAAGGTGGCACATTTTCTGTTAACACCTATGGGAATGCAGTAGTAAAACAAATTACTTCTGAATGTGAAAAATTGCTCAAAATAGAACCTAATTTCATCAACAAATAAATCGTAAAGAAAGAAAAATGAGGGAGAGGGAATCTGTAGATTAAAAAGAATTTAAGCCAGGCTCGGTTGCTCAGCCTGTAATCCCGTGCCTTTGGGAGGCTGAAGTGAGTGGATTGCCTGAGCCCGCGGGTTCGAGACCCGCCTGGGCAGTGAGACCTCATCTCTACAATAAACCAAAAAATCAGCTGGGTGTGGTAGCGCATGCCTGTAGTTCCGGCTACTTGGAAGGCTGAGGCGGAAGGATCGCCGGAGCCCAACAGGTCGAGGCTGCAGTGGCCAGGAGCAGCCACTGCACTCCAGTCTGGGCGACAGAGTGAGACTCCAACTCAAAAAAAAAAAAAAAAAAAAAAGAATTTAAGAGACATGGCAATCAACTGCAGTCTATGGACCTTTTATAGAACCTAAATTCAAGTAAACTTTAGAAAGCAAAAACAAAAGCTGAGTACTTGAGATAAATGCAGAAATTTAAATAATGATTGAATGCTTCTATCATTTATAATAAAAAATGATTAATATTTGGGTATGATAATGGCACTGTAGTTATGTTTTTCAAAACAGTATTTTTTAGAGGTGCACACTCAAGTATATGATATATTCGACATTTATTTCAAAAATAACTTGGGGTCAGGGAAGGGATAATGTGGAACAGATATGGTTAACAAATGATTAGCCATAAGTTGATAATTAGGAAACTAAGAAATGGGTACTTGAGCGCTCATTATACTATTTCCTCTATTTTTTTTTACACGTGCTTGATTTTTAAAAATGAAGTGTTAAAAAACAGATGTCTCACAAATGCTCACAGTCTTACCTTGTGTTTAGATACAGAATGCTTCTTGGTGGCTTTGGGGTGAGGAGCATTTTCTATAGTAACAGTGCCACTGTACTGATCATGATGCGTCTCCTGTGGTCTATATTTACTCATTTTTCCCAAAAGGACAGGTTTGGAAGCCTGTGTAAATGCCACGTACATAACACAAAACTTCTTTAGCAAATACATTCTGGATAGCATCACATCATCTTCTTAAAATTTCTAACCCAATTGAAAAATAAAAAAACTAATTCTCAAAATATAAAGTATAAGCGTTTAAATTCCTTGAGAATAAAGACTATCATACTTTATGCAGATACACACAAACCCCAACATCAAACACACTGTATATACTCAATTATATATAAAAGAATAGCTCTCAAATCTGATAATATATTCAATAAATGTCCAAATGAATGAATGAATGTTCATCACAAAGTCTCCACTATTTGTTTTCTTCTCCTTACCCTTTCTTCTATGATAGGAAGTGAAATATCAATGAAAGAATCTTTTGCCATGGAGATCTTAAAAAGAAAACATATTGAGAACTTCAGTTAGAATTCTAACATAAACATATAGTTTTGTAAAGTATCAAAGAAATCAAACTTCCCAGGCAACCAAAAATTTTAAGTTAAGAAACGTTCCTGGAACAACAGTGATTCAACTGAGAATTGCAGCACATTATTAATCAAAACAATATATTCCAAAACTTCAATACATGTAATCCAGTTGAATTTTATAGCACTGGCAATATGACGAACCTATAATATTTAAAGTAACTTCAAAATAAACTGTTTAATAAGTCTGATTAACTAAATAAACTAAACATTTTTGGTCAAATTAGTGCTATAACATAAATAAAACTTGAAATGTTAAGAAAAAGTAATGAAAAAAGGCAGAGCACTTGGTTGCATTTTGTAGATTCCTTAGAATAGGCCTGTTTTAAAAGATTCTATCTTGTGAGAGAAAAATCAACTTCTATGTTGAATATGCTAGAAACTTAAGTAATCGTGTTTAAACATTCTGTGTTTCCATGTGACAGATTAGAAGATAAAATATATTATCTTGTTTTTATAAAGCTAGAGAAGACAGAAAAGTACTCTATAATCTGGGACAGAAAAATGGACATAAAGAAAGCCGGTACAGTAATTCATGCCTGTAATCCCAGCTCTTTGGGAGGTGGAGACAGAGAATTGCCTGAGTCTAGGGGCTTGAAACCAGCTTGAGCAAATTGGCAAGGCATCATCTCTACAACGAATCAAAATATCAGCTGGGCATGGTGGTACTTAAAAGGCTGAGATAGAAGTATCACCTGAGCCCAGTAGCCATGAGTACACCACAGCACTCCAGCCTGGGAAAGAGTGAGACTGACTAAAAAGAGAAAAAAAGAAAAAAAAAAAAAAAAAAAAGAAACAAAGGAAAGGGAGGGAGGGAGGCAGGGAGGCAGGGAAGAAAGAAAAGAAAAATGCACATAAAGACTTTCTTTTGCTATTAAAATCTGACAAAAATTTAAACCTATGACACTAAGCCATACACTTCAGAAATATTCCTTACCAAGCAATTGAACGGCTATAAAAATTTATACATGATTTGAGTTGTGAAAGAGGGCATTCAAAATAAAAACGATCACTAAATTCAAAGATGAATCAAATCTACACAAAAAACTTTAATAAGTCACATAAATATAAACTTTAAATCAAATGTGACATGCTCACCCTAAGTTATGTCACTACATTAAATTTCTATTGGAATTACATTTTAGGGCATTGCAATATAACATAGTTACTCTCTTCACAGAACTTTTTCTCACTTTAATCCAAACAGATAGTTAATACATTTCAGCATATTAAGATAGGTTAATTAAGATACATTTCAACATATTAAGATGTAAATGTGTCTGTGTGCTATTTTTCCTCATAGATGTGTCATGAGGAAAAATAACAAACACATTAACATATGTATGTGTGTATATCTATATAACAATTATGTTTACTTGCTAGAAATGTACGGTATGATATTTTTAAATGATTTTCAAGAATTGTTATGTAGTCTGTCACAATTTTTTTAAATGACTGACAATGATATGTGAAAGACGACATCATAAAAATATGATTGTAATCTACTCCATGCTAAAGTGAATTCCAAAGTACCTACATTTGCACATTCTTCACACATGACCGTGCTAGTCAATTCACCAACAAAGATCTGATCTATGAAGTTCATTTTCACACCTTCTCTTCCATATGCTGTAACAATCAGACTTTTTAATGCAAAAAATATGTCAACTAGTCAGCTAACAGTATAACATGCTACTTTCAAAAGTAACACGAATAAGGCAGGCATGCTGTATCACATTTACTAATATATTTTACTATACGTATAATGTAATAATGTCTTTCATCTTTATAATTATTTATTTATTTAATTTAGAAATAGAGACGAGGTCTCACTATGTTGCCCAAACTGGTCTTCAACTCCTGGTCTCAAGTGATCTTCCTGCCTTGGCCTCCCAAAGTGCTGAGATTACAGGTGTGAGCCACTATACTTGGTCAGCTCCTTTAAAGTTTTAAAGAGGACATATGACTATCAACTACTATAGCCTCCAAGAAAAAAATGAACTGTTCTGAAACTTCACAGGTAAAATAAACAAAGCAATAACCATTACTCATACCGTACCTCGACTACTGTCCTTAAACCTCTTAAAGCCTTGTGGCTAGCCTCTAGGCAGACAGAAGGATGGGGAAGGAGATTATGCTTTGAGAACTATAGTTGCCAGGACCATGGCTATGAAAACAACAGTTATAAAAGACAAGTGTAAGGAATTAGCATAGGCAATTGGGAACTCAGTTAAAACTTGGTTTTATGTTTACAAATTAAAATTACTCTGCTCAGGAAATATCAGTAAATCAAAGAAAACTATGCTTTTAATTTTCTTTTTTCTTTCTTTCTTTTTTCACTATTGTATGCTTTTCTTGAGAGGTTCCTATGAGGATCTCTACATAGCCAAATTCCCTGATATGAGTATTGCCTTCTAGAGCTGATATCTTGGTAATTTTCTTTAAAATAATCTGGAACCAGGAACAGTGGTTCATGCTTATAATCTCAGCACTCTGGGAGGCTGAAGCAGGAAGATTACTTGAGGCTAGGAATTCGAGACCAACCTGGGCAACACAGTGAGACCCTCATCTCCACAAAAAAAAAAAAAAATTTTTAAATTAGCTAGGTGTGTTGGCATGCACCTGTAGTCCTAGCCTACTTGGGCTGAGGCAAGAGGATCACTTGAACCCAGGAGGTAGTGGCTACAGTGAGCTGTGATCACACCACTACACTCCAGCCTGGGCAACAAAGAAATGCTGTTTCAAAATATAATAAATAAAATAATTTTTTAAAAAAACAAATACAATGAAATTAAAATAAATAAATACAAAGTAATCTGGGGTTGAGAGAAAACAGATTAAACAAAATAAACCACAAATGCAGTTCAAGTTGAGTGATAGGTACAAGGGGCTGCATTACAAACGTCTTTCTGCTTTAAGAAAAATTTGAACATTTTCATCATAAACCATGGGAGAGAAACCTCTCTCCCAAACTTCTATCTCTTTTTGGCCTCTATCTTCAAGTTTCATACAAATAATAGTTAAGATCACTTAAAACATTATTTAAAGCACTGAATGACAAAGCAGACTTATCTGAACATTTCAACCAAAACTAACAAAAATAATAAGTATTTAGAAATACTATAGTAAATTAAGATATTTCATTAAAAATAACTACAGGGAATTGAAAGCAGAAAAGATTACAAAACCGGGCTGTGATTCTAAACATGCACTAGATGGCACTATCTCAACACAAAAGAACAAGGCATACTTGATCCTCTCTCTCTCTCTCTCTCTCTCTCTCTCTCTCTCTCTCTCTCTCTCTCTCTCTATATATATATATATATATATATATATATTTTTTTTTTTTTGGAATTCGTGTCTCACTCTGTTGCCCAGGCTGAAGGCAGTAGCATGCTCACGGCCACCGCAGTCTCAACCTGCTGGGCTCAGGTGATCCTTCCGCCTCAGTCTTCCAAGTAGCTGGAACTATAGGCATGTGCCATCACACCCAGCTAATTTTTTGATTTATTGTAGAGATGAGGTCTCACCGAGTTGCCTAGGCTGGTCTCGAACCCATCGGCTCAGGCAATCCTCTCACCTCGGCCTCCCAAAGTGCTGGGATTATAGGCGTGAGCCATAGTACCTGGCTGAGCATCTATATTTTTAAAAATCCTTAACTCTTAAATGTAACAGTGTTTTTGGGTACACAAATAACAATGTTACGTATGTTTATAAATTATAGGCATGTAATGCATACACTATAAAGCCATTAAAAATAGAAGTTAGAAAAGAGACAACAAATAAAATACAAATATTTTTAAATGTCTTCTTAAAAATCATCACTGCATACTAACATTAGTTAATATTTCAAGACAGAATATATACTTAGAGCAAGGCAAATCGCTAATATTATAAGATATAAACCCACACTGCAGTATTAATAATTATAAATAATCAGCTTTGATTAAATAATCATTTTTGCCTCTTATTTTAACAGATTAATAGCAAACACTAGGAATAGGTAAACTGCATTTATTTTTGACTTATTAGTACTCTATTCAATAAATGGTTTCTTTTCAGGAGGTTTTGGAGCACTTAAACATTCTGTCTATTAATAGTTAAAACTGGGCCGGGCGTGGTGGCTCACACCTGTAATCCCAGCACTTTGGAAGGCGGAGGTAAGAAAGGCCTATGCCCAGGGATTCAAGATTAGCCTGGGCAATATGGTGAGACCTTGTCTCTACAATAAAAATTTAAAAATTAGCCAGGTGTGGTGATGTGCCCCTGTGGTTCCAGCTACTTGGAAGGATGAGGTGGAAGGATCGCCTGCGCCCAACAGGTCAAGGCTACAGTGGTCGTGAGTGTGCCACTACAACTCCAGCCTGGGCGACAGAGTGAGACTCCGACTCAAAAATAAAAAATAAAACTAGCCAAGCCTGGTGTCTCACGCCTATAATCTCAGTACTTTGGGAGGCCTGAAGTGAAAGGACTGCCTGAACCCAGGAGTTTGAGACCAGCCTGGGCAACATGGAGAGACCTTATCTCTACAATAAATCAAAAATTAGCCAGATATGGTGGGGCATGCCCGTAGTCCCAGCTCCTGGAGAGGCTTGGGTGGAAAGATCGCCTGAGCCCAGCAGGTGGAGGTTGCGGTGGCCATGACTATGCCACTGCACTCTAGCCTGGGCCACAGAGTGACACTCCAACTCAAAATAAACAAACAAAAAAGGTAATATCTACAAATCCACTTATTCAAACACATGTCAACTCCAAAATGATACACATGAACTTCCAAGTGAGGTTGCGACTTTCAACAACCTTTCAAGACTCCCTTAGAAAACTTCATGTAAAGTCATCAGCGTCAATCTGTATATTCGATATTAGTTTTACTTTATAAATTCAGATGGACACATTCTAACATTCTCTTTTTATGTCCCACTAGAGTATCTTGTAGACACGAGTAAGTACACCCTCCTTTTAAAGTCACTACTTTAGTGATTTAGTCCACATAATTTATTTATCCTTGAAAATACTTTTAATATTTCCTTTTGGAAAAAAAGTTTTAACAGAGTCCACGTACCTTTGACTTTTTTTCTAGTTTCTTCATCAGCAGTTTTAGTAGTTGGGTTGTTAAATGCTTTTAGAATGCTAGCTTGTATTCTCTGTAAAAACAAAGTTAATAGAATTGAGTCTAGTAATAGTTAACTCAGGCCTCATCCTCTTAACAAAAGGACTTTCAAACAGCAAGACACACTGTGGATCTCAGCACCCTAGTCTGAAAATAAAATGGACTAAATTTTAAAACAATGCCCTTTCTTCTAGTTCCAAACTTCCATGAATTAATAACTCTTTAATGCCAAATTCTTCCAAGAGTCAAAATTCCTACATTTAGAGCCTCTCTTGGATTTAAAGTATGTTTATTGGTTTAGAAAAAGCAAGCAGCCTGGTATCATCTTTCCTATAGACTTAGAGTAAGTTCATTTCTCCTCTCTATTTCTTTTTCTCTGTTTCTCTTTCTAAAATGACATTTTAAAATCAGGACTAAAATAAAAAATAAAAAACAGATCGTATGAAATTTTTGTCTATGAAGAAAACTTTAATATATGAGAATCCATCAAGCTGGTCACTATGACCTCCATGTGGACTTTTTAAAATATATATACATATGACTAAAGTCCAGAATATCAATGAATGTCTATAGGAAGAAGAATCTCCCAAATCTCAATTATGGTTTGATTTGAACTTAGTTGTCAAGAATGATGACGAGCCAGGCACAGTGGCTCACGCCTGTAATCCCAGCACTTTGGAAGGTGGGGTTCGAGACCAGTCTGAGCAACATGGCAAGACCTTCTCTCTACAATAAATCAAAAAAATTAGTCAGGCATGGTGGCACACGCCTGTGGTTCCAGCTACTTGGAAGGCTGAGGCAGATGGATCACCTGAGTCCAACAGGTCGAGGCTGTGGTGGCCATGAGCGTGCCACTACACTCCAGCCTCGGTGACAGAGACTCCAAGTCAAAAAAAAAAGTATGATTATGTCTTCAGCAGCTCTCAGAAAATGACAAGGTTTAGGTTTCTACCTCTCTTGTCTATATTTTAGGAAGAATCCAATCTCACAAAAATGTTGCAGAATGAAAAATTACACATTTCAAGGAAAAGCCTTATTTAAGTATGATAATCTTTTATACTAAGTATGTGTCTAATCAGTGGATTAATTTTGTCTTCTCTGATTTACATTATGACAGTAGAATGAGGGGAAAGTTTCATTATTTTTAAAAATATATTTTTAAAGGCTATAATATGTAAAACTTCCTTTGCTAACTGTTGATAGACTATATACACATACACACACTCCCACAAAAACCTGGAATTTGTTTATTAAAAAATTGTGTATTTGTTCTTATATGTTTAAACTTTAGTCACCTTCAAAGTACTCTCTATTTGATGCAATATACCTATCAAGATGCTTTTTCCACTGCTTAAAACATTTTTTGAGCTCATCAAATTTGATGCCTTTTAGTGCTTCTGCCATTTTTTGCTTCCACCCTTGCATATCAGCAAAATATTTTCCTTTGAGGACTATTTTTTCATCCAGGAAACAAAAAAAAAAAGTCATTCATGGTGAGATTGGGTGAATAGGAAGGGTGTGGGTACAAGGGTCATACTGCTTTTTGGTAAAAACTATTGAATACTCAGTGCTATGTGGGCAGGTGTGCTCATAAATCATCTATCATGAAATGGGCAAACACATTTAAGGAATCTCCAGAAAACAAAAGTAACTGAAGCCAAACACAGCCTCCCATAATGCTGGCTGGTACACTGATTCCAATGGGTTCGGAGGACACTTATATAGCAGGGGAAGCCTGTACTACAAGGGGCTCACTCCCCATAAAGATAATTCTGGTTTTCCTGGGGTCCTCTTCATATGCAAAACTACTGTCTGAAGTAGAATTCCTAGTGTGGAAATGATACATAACTGTATTAAAAAAGAAACTAAACTCTACTTGCAGATTTACTAGAAAGTGAAAAACACTACATATCAGAATCTAAGCTGTTTCCCAGTGTTTGGAATAAATTTTGCAGCCTTAAGTATTTAAATCAGTTGAAAAGAATAAAAACAAATGGATTAAGCAGTCAACTTATATATTTATAAGACAGACAACAAAATTGAATAATAGTAGGAGGAAAGAAAACCGTAGAAATTAGAGAAAATTAATAAGTGAGTCAAAAGCTGATTATCTGGATGGGGAAATAAATAAATCCATTAACTAATCTTAATCAAGATAAGGGTGAAAAGCAGAACACCATACCTAAAAAATAAGAGAAACCACTAACAAAACTAAAGACATTTTAAATAACTATAACAGACCACTTTGCTCAATTCTCAATGCAATTATCAAAATTACCCCAGAAGACACAGAAAATCTTCCAATTATCACTGAGGGAAAAAAGAATGCCATTAACTAGTACTCCTTATAAACCTCCCTCAACAATTTCACAGAGGAATGCCACCAAACCTATGTTCCAGGGCACAGAAATTATTCAAATAATTATCATGAAGCAGTATAGTTTTAAAAAACCTGACAAACAGTACATACAACACACACAAATATCACTTATGAAAAAATCCTAAATAAAATATCAGCAACAGAATACAGCAGCACATTAAAAGCACATTAGACCAAGAAGCTTTTATTTTAGTAATGTAGGCATAATAAGGCATCTATTACTATAAGCCATCATGTTCATAGATTTAAGGAGAAAAAAATTAAGATAAAATCTCTTGATATCCCCTATTTATTACTATTGTCTACCATTGTAATAGAGTTCTAGTTGATGCATTTGGATAGAAAAATAAATCTCAGGAGTATCAAAATGATAAAGTAGATACAATCATTTGCAGATGATGACTTTTACCAGTAAAAGCCAAAAAACCAACTGAAATAAGTTATACAAATAAGAATAGTAGAGTATATAAACATAAAGCCAATAGCATTCACAGACACAAGAACCAGTTAGATGACAGGAAACAATATTCCTTTTGTAACAGTATCTAAAAAGATAAAGTATCTAGGAAAAACTTAAATGTGTAAGATCTAAGTGAGAAAAACTTTAAAACACAACTCAAAGACACAGAAGAAAACTTGATCATATGGAAAGACACACTATGTTCTTGGATAGGCCCTAGCATTACAAACACTCCAAAACATTTCAGTCTTCCTCCCCAAATTATACATTTAACATAATTCCAGTAAGAATACCAACAGTTTGGGGTGTGTGTGTGTGTGTGTGTGTGTGTGTGTGTGTGTGTGTGTGTGTGTGTGTGTTAAGATGGAGAAGGTGAAGGGAAAGATTGATTCCAAACTAAATATGGAAAAATAGACAAGAACAGCAATGAAAACTCTGTTGGGGAAGTGTAGTGGGGAATGACTAGTCCTACTGAACTATTTTTATTAAATGCATTAAAACCTTAGTAATTTAAAGTGTGATCCTGGAACTCAAATTGACAAAAAGAACCACAGGGAATTACAGGAAAATACCAAATACATATAAAAAATTAGCATGGTACACTGGTGCCCATGGGTTCTTAGAACACTTACATAGCAGGGGAAGCCTAGACTACACAGGGCCTGGCTCTCCAGAAAAATGATTCCAGCTTTTTTAGGACTCTCCCTCATATGTAAAACCATATGGGAAAAGCATACTAAACATTCAGATATTCATAGAATAGTTATACAGAAAGAAAGGAAAATATCTAGGGCCAGGATGAATTTCAAATGGATCATGGGTTTTTATCTGTTTTGTTTTTTGAGTTGGAGTCTCACTCTATCACCCAGGCTGCAGTGCAATGGCACCTCAGGGCCACGGCAGCTTCAACATGCTGGGTACAGGCGATTGTTCCATCTCAGCCTTCCAAGCAGCTGGAACCACAGGCGCTCGGCCACCATGCCCAGCTAATTTTATTTTTTAATTTATCATAGAGATGAAGTCTTACCAAGTTGCCCAGGCTAGTCTCGAATTACCCAGCTCAGCCAATCCTCTCACCTCTACCTCCCAAATTGCTGGGATTACAAGCATGAGCCACTGCCCCCAGTGGATCACAGGTTTAAGCCTAAAAATGAAAAAGTACTAGAAAAAAACATGAGGAAATTCCTTTATAATCCTGGAGTAGGGATGCCTTTAAACGTCCAAAAGTCATAACAAAAGACTGTTAAATTTAAAAACATAAATCTTAACCATATCTCTATAAAAAACACCATCACCACATTATAAGAAAAATAAAAAAAGAAATGACAACTTGGAAAAATTCTCCCCCAGTACATAAAAACTCTTAGAAATGAACAAAAAAACCCAAAATCCTGTAGAAAAATAGACCAAAAAAAAAAAGATGAAAATAAGCTCAGCCTCATTCAAAAAGAGAAATGCACACTAAAACTACATTGAGATACTTTTTCCACTTATCAGACAGGCAAAAATTCAAAAGTTTGACAAGACAATCGTTCAGTGAGGCTATGTAGAAACATACTCTCTTATGTGGTATGTTGTAGAAGGAAGTGAAAATTGTACAACCCCATGTCTTAAGGGCAATTTAAAAATATCTATCAAAAATAAATTTACACATATTGGTTGATCTATCCATCTCTCTTCTGCATTCATACAAATATACTTACAATATGAAAATAACCATATAACATCAACAATGGTACCCATACTTTATCTGTATGATGACCACATATGTACTTAACTCTGAATTGTACCCCATATTTTTAGAATTAAAAAATTAAAAATTAAAAAACAAAACAAAATACGTCATAAAAAAAGAAAATAACATGTACATTGTTCATAATGCAAAAATACTGAAAAACAGTTTATAACACAAAAACACTGAAAACTATAAATAACATATGCACATCATTCACCATAGCATGGTTCGTAATGCAAAAATACTAAAAGCAACAAATATCGGTCAATATTGGATTTGTTAAATATATTAAGCTAAAATAAATAAGGAAGCTTCCTATCTTCTGATATGGAAAGATCACTACAATATATTAAATGAAAAAAGACAAAGTGTAAAAAAAAAATATATATATAAAACATATATAGTATATGCCACCTTTTGAATAAAGAAAAAAAGCATAAAGCAAGAGAGACAACAACA